GACAAGGACACTCATCTCTTTTAGTTGTGTCATTTCTGAGAACGAGTCTTCATGTCTGAGAGAAGACATGAGAAGAAAAAGGCAGGGAAAGGGTAAAGCTTTATGTCCATTCCTGAGGAATTGCAACTATGTGAAAGTGATTGCTTTTGGTCCTGTAAGAAACATGTCCCAGGCACACCTGCAGAGAGTGAGCCATCACTACAGCAATGTTTGAGATGGACCCCAAATTCCTGCATAAAACCTTAACAAGTCACCCCAAAATGTCCCTTCTGCTCCACACCTGCCAGCAGCAGTGGAGAGATCCCTTCACTCGCCAGCTGCTGATCCCCTGAGTGACCTCCACCAGAACCCACAGTGACACTGCACACGCAGAGAGGGCAGAGCAAAGCCAAGCCTCCCTGGCAGCCTCTGCACAGAGGGGCCATGTCTGGGGAGCCGACAGGTACAGACAGATTAGAACAGTGGCAGGATCAGAGCAGGCAGTCGTGAGTACCAGAGGGAAAACACTCCCTGCTCAGGCAGTGCAGAAGGAGTGAGGCAAGGAACAGGAACCCTCAGGAAGGTGGATGCCTCCTTCCCAAAAATCAATCACTGTCAGAAGGAGCCCTCACAGAATGAGGTGTGCACAGCAACCTGGCACCAGGGACTCTGAGTGGGGATATGGTGTCAGGAGCAATAAATAGACCCCAAAGAAGTCTGAGACCATAAACACATGGGGAAAAAGCTTCACAGAATCCTAGAATAGAACCCTAGAATATTCTCAGTTGGATTGATGGTCTTTGTGGGGCCCTTCCAGCCCCTGTCCCTGCACAGCCACCCCAACAACCCCGCCCTGGCACCATTCCCTGGGGAGCCTGGGCAGTGCCCAGCACCCTCTGGGGAAGAAACTCTTTCTCATACCCAGTTTAAACTCCCCAACACAGCTTTGTGGTTGTTTTGATGCACTCTTAGGACAGTTACATACAATGTCACAGGTGGAAGCATCCCACAGCTCACACAATTATTCCAATAAGGAATATTATTTTTAATATTACCATGCGCTGCCATAGCACATGAGTTTGGCAGCTTTTTGTTTTTAATAATTCCACCAAAAAAAGCAGTTTAATTCTACCTTTTCAGAGCTTTAGGACAGTCAGGTTTGAAAGTTATAAATACTTCAGCAGAGTAAGGGGGAAGACAGAGAAGCTAAAACACACATGACTGTCAGCTTCAGAGTTTGGTCCAGAAGGACTAACAGTTTGTGCACAGCTGCATGGACAGCAGGCTAGAGATGACCAGGTTCTCCTGGAAAATTTAGAGCTATTGAGCAGAAGCATCTGTGCTGCAAGAAACTCAGCAGCCCCAGAGAGGCCCAGAGTTCTGCATTCCTACATTAACAGGTACTGAAGGAGGAGTGTTTTTAAAAAACTCACCTGTTAGAGGAGTCCAGCCCAGCACAATGGCTGGAAACCCAGACCCCAGAACCTGGATGCTGCAGCAAAGTGAAACACTGACCATGCAAAATACAGCACAAGACAGATTTCTTCTGTTGGATCATCTCCAGCACGAGGCAGCTGCTCCAAGGAAGTGGAGATTTAGCATCATACACACATCCCTGCACGGGGAATCAGTGCTGAGTACAAGTCTGGCCCTGCTGTGTCTGCAGTCAGTGCTGCAGGGCTACTGGACCAACCCAGGCTTCTTGCTCTCAGCCTCATGAGCCCCAGGAAGAGAGGATTTAATTGATGGATCAGGTCAATGGCTGCTCACAGACCTCAGCAATCATCATGACAGGCCAGAAGATGCACCAGTGAAAAGTTACACTGCAGCCTGGACACTGTGCCATTCTATATTGGGAAGTGAGAATCAGCCTTCTAACATTTCCCTAGGGTTCAAAGCCCCAGGGCATGGCTGGGGCTCAGTTAAGATCTGACAGAAAGAACAGTGTCCAATGAATGCTGGAATTCTCTTATGAAAATCCTGGATGTCCCAACATACTCTCCATAAACACAAGTACAGTGAGCAGCACAGCAATGATCCAGTATTTGCCTGCTGACCCCCAGTACTGATTCTCTCATCACAGTCAAGCAAAGCCATAGCTGGAAGTGCTGAGGAGTGAGGAGTGCACTACACCAGCTGGGGAATGCACAGCCCAGCACTCTATTCCTCCAGTATGATCAGGAGGAGCCCTGCAGCCTTCTAATGCTCATCTACTGTGCACAAGTTTCTCTGAACAGCTACTGAAAACAAGGGAAAAAAAAAGCAGAAAAAGAACTGTCACATGTCAAACAACAAACCAGACACACATCACACCTTTATCAATGGTTATAACCCATATGTACACAAACCCAATAGTTCCTGGTAAGGAATGTGAACTGACACTCTGGTTTGCTGCTACTTTCATCTCCTGTAATGCTCATCAGTAGTGAGATAAAGGGTAGGCAGTCTGGAGGCTTCAAGGAGCTTCTCTACATTTTATAACCACAACCTAACACATGGAAGACAGATTGTTCAATACTCTGCTGCATTTGAAGCAAAACGCAACAACATATGCAATGATCATCATAAAATATTTTGCTCAAACAAACCCAAACTTTGGCTTTCAAATCAGTTGTTGAATCCCAGTAATCAGTCTCCAGACAGCTTATGCCAGTTCAATAAGTCATGAAAACTGCATTCCAAGCAGAAGTATTTTTTGCCCCACGTTTCATTAACAAACAATAAATTGAGAAGAAATGTGTGTATCACTCAATGTTTTACAAAAAGCAGGCATTATCAACTAAACGTTGATTTTAACTCTGCAAACACAAACAAAGGGAACTTCAAAGACAAAATACGCTGATTATTAAAACTTTATGGGGGCACAAAAAGCTATGATTTCATTGAAAAGAACTAAACTGATCTGAAAAGTCTAACTCAAACAAAAGCAAAAGGTTCCCTCCCTCCTGCCCAGGCCACTCAACCCACTCTCCCTCACATGCCAATATTATGACTTATCTGACCAGAAACCAAGGTCAGGGAGCTGAACAGGTTTTTCTGCAGCTCCAGTTTCCTGCTGTCTGCCACAGGGTCAGAGAAATTCAAGTGGAGGCACAAGAAAAGCAGAACTGTGCCACAGGATTTTTCTGTTCAGGAACTGCTGCACATCCATGTGTTTAACAGAGAGTTTGAGAGTAAAGAATATAATGTGAACATTAAGAGGCAGAAACAAAAGCAAGAAGAAAAAATGCTCAGAAGGAGCCAGTTCTTTGGCACTGATATTCCAGAACTCTCAGTAAGCATGGAGATGACTGGTAACTGCTCCTAATAGTGTTGCAAGCAAGAGAAAAATTAGGTAGCAACAAAATTCAGTGGCGTGACCACAGAAGCCACACAGAATCCAGCACCTGCAACCACTTTAGAGGAGAGCCAATGTTCTATCCACAGGCATTCAAGGGCTCTCTGCAACAATAACAGCAATTTTACTTTTCATTCTTGAGGTTAAGAACAACCTTGAGCACACAAGTGTATGTTCTGGACTTTAAACTACCCAGCACTGTCTGTTCCAAGTTAAAGCTAACCAGACTCCACCGGAGTGTTTGATGCTCCAGGTACCTGTGAAGCAGGGTCTCAACTTCAGAGACTGATTAGGTCTCCTGATTCCCACTGAAAATATCTTCCCCCCCACACACAGGTGATTCTGTGCCTATTTTACAGTCTAAGGTGTGGGTCAGCTACAACCTGCTATCATTAAGCAAGGGATCTTATTCCTTGCAAAACCAGCCTTCAGAGCAAGCCTCAACTTCTGAGTGCTGCAGAGCACATGACAACATCTGGGACAAACACTCACCTACCAAAACATTCAAAGAAATCAGTATTTATGTAACTGTTTTACCATGACTGAACATATACATCCCTTAAGTAGCGACACAGACAGAGACAGCATAAGATACCTCATCTGTAAGATATCAGGAAAGGCAGAGGCATGGAAATCAGAGAGGCTACTCGGAAGGGAAATTCTGAAGTTTTTAATTATTCAGTTCTCATGGGTACTCTCAAGCAAATAAAGCACTGAAGATGACGCACAAAGAGCTCTCATGCATTCCAGCAGCTCCCATGCAGCTTTCACAGACTGGGGAGTCTCCGTTAGGGATTAGATAACGATCAGTATCGCTGGATTCTGAAACACAACACTGAGCATGTGCAGCACAGAACTGCTCTGAGCTGCAGGCTGGGAACAAACACCAGGGCACAGCCAGTTAACTGAAAACACCAGAGCACAGAGCTAGTTACCATCAAACACCAGGGCACAGCCAGTTAACAGCTGGCTGCCTTTTTTCCCCCCCAGAAACAACCAAGTGCTCTCACTGAATCCAAGATTCTTCAAATTCTGAACAAGAATAACCAAAACTTGTAAATGAAATATTTTAACAGTGCAAGGATTAAAACCTCGTCAGAGAGCAGCTAAAACCTCCTGCAACTACACAGATACAGAAGCAGTTGCTCTGTCAGCATTTGTTTTGCTTCAAGGAAACGTTCTCAGAACAATTCATTCCTCTCATATTTTAAAGCTACTACTACTAATCCTATTTAAGGAACTTACAAGTTAAATTCTGGAACAGTGGTAAGACCTACAGCCACTTCAGAACTCCAGCACACCTCTATCTTACTGATCAAAATCAGAACAAAAGGTTTGTTTTTATATTCAGAGCTCTGGTGGAATCAAAAACTCTCAGACTGCAAGAAGAATAAACCAGCCAGGGACTAAATCTAAACTAGTTTTAGACCTGTCTATTAATGTTCAAATATGGGAACTGTATTTCTTAGAATTATTAGCCATACACACAATAGTAATTAACTTAGCCTTGAGCATTGCATCCTCCCAGTACCCAATCCTGGCATTACTGGAGCTCCAGGCACACATGTCAATAGTTTGATTACACACACAAGTATTTAGTAATTCTAGATTAAGTTGTATTCAATCAAGTATTTGCTCACACAGTCTAGCACAAGGTGACAATTTCTGAAGCACTAAATCATACCTGCAACTTTGTCCCGAATCAGTTTTGCAGATTCCACTTCGCCGATGCTGCTGAACAGACTCCGTAATTCATCCTGTGTCATGTTCTGAGGAAGGTAGTTCACAATTAAATTTGTCCTACCAATATCATCCCTGCAATCTTCAGCCATGTGATCTTCATAACCATTGGACATTTTACAATAAATCTGCAAAGCGAAAAAAAATCCTCAGTGAGGTTTAGATCTTCACATTTCCATAAACCAAACTTCCTCCACCTGAAATAAGTTTGAATGTTTATTTTAACAACTAAGAACAAACCACTGCCTCAGCAATGCATTTTTTCAACTCAGAAAACAAAACACTATTTATTGAAAATTCCAGAACAATTCATTCTTTCAAAAGCAAAAACATGACATTTTACAGAACTAAGTACCATTAAAGAGCTCTTTAGGATTTATATTTTTGTTACATTAATAAAAAGCATCAAGATAGATTTTGAAGACATTCCTGTAAACACCAAAGTATTCCCAACAGCCAAAGCAAAAATCAGGTCCCTTATGTCCATGTCCAGGTACTTGATCAGCCACAACCAAACTGCCACCTCAATCTGAATCCCAACCTTATGCCCAGAACTTTTTCAGACAGGAAGACAAGAAGTAGCAAGATCTGATCCAGTTCAGTGTTTCAACTGGAGACTATTAATTTTCTGAATGTTTTCCCCTGTAAACGTTGGCCATCCTGCACCTCAAGGCCTTTTGCTGTTTAATGCTGCCTTTGGAGCTGCTTTACTGTGTGTATGAGACTGGTGAGCCTGTGCTGCACACTGACTTGGGAGCATATTGAGTATTTGACAGTTTCTCTTTTTGCAGCTTTTTAAGGGAAACCTTGAGAAAACATGCAGAATTCCCATCACAGGAAGATACCCTCTGCCTCAGTTCACCATCAGGAAGTGAATCCTGATGTTTTAGTTGACCTACAACTAGAACTCACACCAGACTCAAGCTGCTCATGGCTTGCCAAAATCCTAGTTTTAAAGCACTTCAACTGCTTTGAAATAGTCAAAATAAAGATATCGAAATCCTGTTTCTGCAACAGGATCTAGAGATCTGGATCTGCTAAAGGATAAGCCTTCCCAGAGACTGCATCATGACTGACAGCCAGAAGCTGAATAATGGAAGAAGTCAGAAACAGCAACCAGAAATCCTCAGTCCAGAAAGGGAATGCTCCCTGCATGAAGGGACTTCCAGGCCCCCCACCAGCAGCTGCTGTTAACTCATGTCTGACAGTGAAGGTCAAATTTTTAAACAAATACCTGAGCACATGATTATAGAATAAACCATGAGAAGACTTAATGCTAATTTGAGATTTAACACAGTATGGATTTGAACTGAATCTTTATCTTTTCAATATGTGTTGAAGCATTAAGAGCTGGCAGCTCCTGCTCCCCTTCACCCACAGATCAGCTCCTACCCTCACTTTTGTGTTTCAAGTGTCAACACGAGTCAATTCCAGCACACTCTGCCCATGGGATAACCGATCTGGACTGTGAAAGCAATGGAAAACCACACAGGAGGGAAGCCCTTTCTGTTGTGTCAGCAGTTTTAATCTGCTTTCCTTGCAGCAAGATAAGCACCGGCTAATGCCACAGGATAGGAGAGCAGGAGGAGGCACTGCAAAGCTGGAAGCAGGGGAAGAGACTCCCTCAGCAGACAATTTTTAAGCTGCCAAGTCATCTCAGTTGTACTGCAAATTCTGTCATTAAACACACATTCCCTCCTGGCTGTGTCAGCACTTGTGAGCACAATCTCAGAGAAGTTTCCTGTTCTGATAAACAACACTCAAACAGCTGAACCATCTGTGGTCACCATGTCTAAGTTATAACCACCAGGCAACACACATTTTCAGAATTATTTGAATAGAAGGCAGCTTTGCTTGCAAAACTCAAGCCCTACAAGCAGAACTCACCAATATGTGGATGAGTGAAAGTTATATGGCACAACTAGAATATTTAGCAAGCAAAGGAAGAAATGTTGAGATTTTTCCACCTGTAAGAGGAAAAAGTTAACAGTTCCTTCATTTTAACCAACTTTGCCCTTTATTGCCATTTATTTATGATATAAATCCTTCCTGCTGCTGAGATTAAGAAATTGCTATATTCAACTGATTTCAAGAACAGTTATTTAAAAGATTGGGGTTTTGGTTTTTTTTTAATTCTCCAGGGTGTATCTGCTGCCTGAAAAGGAGACACCACAGTGCAGAGAAAACCACCAAGCAGAGAAAACTTCCCAGCACACCAGGATGGCAAGTTACCACACTTATATCTGGCATAAAGCAGAATTGCCAAGAGTTTGGCAAGTGGCTGCTAACTTTCCATCATTGTCCCGCATCCTCTAACCCTCTGCAATGCTCACAGTCTGCACCTCCCAGGATACTCAAGCAGTGCCTGGGGCAGTGCTGATTCAGAGCCATCAGAAGGTGGGAAGGAAGCTTCCACCTGCTTTTCTTCAGGCTTTTAGAAAGCAAACACAGGAAGCCCTTGCATACAGGCCTGGCAAAGGTTTCCATGGGACACCAAGCATGCAGGAGCAGTAAAGGCACAATGAAGAGCTGGAGGATCAGAGTGCTGAGAGAGAAGATGCTTCTTTCTTCCAAAGCTCTTGCTGAGCACTTCCACAATTGGCTGCAGGACTAACGCTGTCCAGCCAGCCTGGAAGTCAGTGGGCACCACTTCTGCTGGTGAGGTGTTAAGGAAACTGCAGCACTCCACCGGTCTGATGCCACTCTGGGGTGCCACTGTCAGCAGACTGGCACTGCTGGGGTCACAGCCCCTTTGCAGCAGAGGCTGCAGTGACCCCACAGGCCCCATGTGAGTCCCTGCACACCCCACAGGCCCCCACTCAGCCCAGCTCCTCTCACCAGCTCAGCCCCAGGTTTCCCACAGCACAGTCCCAGTTCCTTTGTGGTGCAGGGACACAGAACAGCTCGAGCTGGTGCCCTGGGGGGGACCCCAGACAAAGCCCCTCCAGGCTGTGCCCATCCTGATGCTGATGTTTAGTCCAGGGTCTTCTGAATGTGTCAGGAGAGGTTTAGGTTGCATATTAGGCAAAGGTTCTGGAAGGGGCTCCCCAGGAAAATGGTCATGGCCCCAAGTCTGTCAGAGGTGAAGAACCTGCAGCTCACACTGCTGCTGCCAACCTGCACCAGGGGTATTCCTCAACAGGTGAACAGTTCTCATGCCAGCCAAGTTAAAAAGAGCCCCTGAAGAACTGTAACCTCTGCATACTGAAAAGATTTCCAAAAAGAAAAGGAGCTATACAATAGGATGGATGAAACAAGCAATGCTACACTGGAAAACAAATTTTTATTCTGCTCTCACTGAAATACGCTGAGGGAATGTCCTGATCTTTGTCTACCAAAGAGATAACAATCCACTTCTATCAGTAAATATTCCAGATTTGAGAACCAGGCCTATACACTTATTTGCAAGTGAGAACTTGATTAACCGATGTTTGTCAATCCACAATGCCATAAATCAAAAGACTGAATGCATTTATATGCCCAGTGCACAGGTCAATGATGGCAAGAAAGCCCAACAGCTCCATTTGGGAAGGCTGACTGAAAAGAGACTGGTAGTTTTCAACCTATCCAAAACAAGCCTTCATTTCTACGTCCCAAAAAACTAAAACTTTAAGACTAGGTTCCACTGCACTGCACTTCCCAAAATGACAATTTTTTAAAATAACCAAATGCTACAGAAGCTTGTTTGGAAAGGCAGCAGCCACCTTCTTCCTTGGGAAAGATGCCCCAAAATTAAAATGCACAAAGCAATAAAGGGAACCACATGTGCTGCACCTGAATCTTCCACTAATTCTGGAGGTGCTTGAATCCACACAGATAACACTTCACCACCTGTGCCAATGACTGCTCAGGCATCCTCAGCCAGGCCAGCATTCCCAGGACTGGATTGAAAAGCTCTCATGAGTATAATTTGCAGAAATGTTGCACTGACCATGACAATCACCTTCTCACAACAGCACACCAGGTTTAATGGTTCTGGCAACAGACCAATAAAAGTTTTTTCCCAATGACACTGTACCTCCATCCAGAATTCTAGCAATCACTGCTATTGTTTCACTGCAAGATGTTTGCTAAGAAGGGAGATCTGTATGGAACTGTGGAGATCATGTGAAATGAGAACACTGGCAAGAACTGTCTGCCTTCAACATCAGGCAAGAGGCTTTGTCCACCTTCATCTTGTTCACAGGACTAAAAAGGCACCAGACCACTACTGAGGTCACAAATTCATATGCAGACACCTAAAGAGATGCTTACAGAATCCCAGGATAGCTGGGTTGGAAGGAACCTTAGAGATCAGTTCATTGCACCCCCTGCCATGGCAGGGACACCTCCCACTGTCCCAGGTCCCTCCCAGCCCTGCCCAGCCTGGCCTTGGGCACTGCCAGGGATCCAGGGGCAGCCNTCATCACAAACTAGATAGTAATAAGCAGAATAACTTCTAGCATATAATTCATAGTATGTTTTTTTAAATACAGGAAATTATGGAATTATTGAGTCGTTTGGGTTGGGAGGGACCTTAGAGACAATTTCATTCCAACTCCTGCCATGGGCAGGGACACCTTGAAGTACTGCAGGTTACTCCCAGCCCTGTCCAGCCTGGCCTTGGGCACTGCCAGGGATCCAGGGGCACACACAGCTGCTCTGGGAAATCCATTCCAGGGATGGATTCCACAATTCCTGATTCCCAATATCCCATCCAGCCCTGCCCTGTGGCAGTGGGAGCCACTCCCTGTGTCCTGTCCCTGCAGGCCTTGTCCCCAGTCCCTCTGCAGCTCTCCTGGAGCCCCTTCAGGCCCCAAAAGGGGCTCTGAGGTGTCCCTGGAGCCTTCTCCTGTCCAGGTGAGCAGGCCCAGCTGTGCCAGGCTGGCTCAGAGCAGAGGGGCTCCAGCTCTCAGAGCACTTCCGTGCCTCCATGGTATCACTCCAACAGGTCCATGTCTTTCTTCTGCTGGGGTCCCCAGAGATGGAGGCAGCTCTTCAGGTGGGATGGATGATGGATCAGCTAGTGCAGAATTTAAGATGGGAAATTCTTCCTGGATCAATGACTTCTGTGTAACAGAGCTCATGGCACCTTGACTGGAGCACTGGGAATGGGCCACAGTGAGCACAGCATGGTCCTTACACCATGCAAACCTGGAGCTGCTGACCCAGCTACTCAC